TGAAAATGTAAAAATTAATAGTAAGGATTTCTTTAAATACATTAAGGGGAATAAACGTTAGGGATGATAAAGGAAGGCTAATATCTGATGATTATGAGATGACTGGGTTATTAAATTTTGCTTTTTCTTCAGTTTTTACTAATGAAGATTTCAGCAGTATTCCACATCTTGAACAGTAGAATGAGATCAAACATGATGGCTGCATTAATTCTGAGCTGGTTAAGAAAAAATTGTAAAGTTAATTGATGTTAAATAAACATTATTTTGAGTGTTTACTCTTGACCTGAGACTCATTTTCTTTAGTCTAACTGTAAACTCCTCGAGTTAGCGACTTGTGGCTCCACTCGTCAAGACAAATCCTCCAATAAATAAATTTGGTGTAAAAGAGTAGTTTTAAATGAAGCTCCAACAATTAAGCTCACCTGAGCGCTACACTTTACAACGGTAAATAAAAAATATATAGAAAACAATTTTTTTTTACTGATGCGGCATACTTGCTAAGCCTTGTTTTGAATTTCATGTGGTGGATGTAAAAAACAATTTTTGTAGGTTTTATATATGCATTTTGAATTAACAAAAATCTATAAGTTACTATACCAATACCACAAAATTCCACTGTAATTTATCAGGTTTCCTTACTAAGCTGTATTTGGGTCTAAAAAATTTCATTTCCTATCAGCATATCACCTTGAACACCACTTCAACAGTAATAAAGGCTTTACCCGCACAAGTCCTTTAGGAAGACTAACAGAATTATGTAATTCAAAATGAGTGTTTTCAACTGGTTAAAAACATGTAATTGAGAGAAGTAGGCATAGGTAACGAGTATTTTCAAAAGAGGAAGATGTGGGTGGAGCCACTGTGGTGGGTTTGCTAAATATGATATCTCAGCAATCAGAAAAGGTAGGAGGTTTTTATTTTATACTCTAGTTTTTTAATATCAGTATTTGAGTTTCTAATTCCTTAAAAGATGTAGACTTTACATCTTATGATGCTCACAATAAAATCTGAGCAAATGCAGATGTTGCAACATGTGACACAAAAATTCTATATTTGGCAACTTTTTAATATTTACTTTTGAACTAAGAAATTAAATAATGTATAATACTAAAACTTGAATTATAAACTACAATTTAATTCCAAATTTATGGATATACACTAAAAAAAAAACTGTAGTTTAATAAAAGTTTGATTGTAAGTCTACAAACATGATGAGGTGCTCTATTCCCAACCTACATGGAAAGGGTTAAAGACAAGTTTTTATCAACAGTCAGACATATCTGACTTCTTCAGGTGACTCAATGAAGTATCATAGGTGATGGTAACATGCCATGGCAGCATAGGCTGATCATCACATTTGACACTATTATCCAACATCAGGCTCATCCAGTCAACTTTTCTAGATATGAAGGCTTAAAGTTGGAACAGCAAATCATTTATTTGCAAAAAGGGAGCCCACTGAAGCATGAATACACAGTGATCACAACTCTGCAGCATACTTAAGATATCTACAAACACGAAGTGAAGTGTAGTTTCACGTGACACTGTGTACAGAGTCCCTGGCAGAAGCCTAGATCAGAAACTTTGTAATTCAGTTTATTACTGTTTCACCAATCATTTCACAATCAGAAATCATTATATCATTCAATCTGCTAGATTTCAACTATGTAATGTTGATGATGTCATGTAGTATTGTTGACAGTTTAACCTTAAAAATTGTAACAACTGCACAGAATGTACTTTGAAGTTCATTAAATTTGAAATTGTTGAATTTATCAATAAATGTGCCATGCAAAAAAATGAAAAAATAATCACAATCTCTTTTCCGTTTTTTATTTGAACAAGTAAAAATGGGGACTGTCTGACCTTGTGGCTAATACATGATCAATATGTAATGTTATGTGAGAGACAAATTGTTGAGATTCATTGCCTAAATTCATCATTCACTTCAGCCATAAGTTTGAAGACTTTTGCTATCACTACACATTTTGAAAACTAAACCACTTTCTGAAACAAATGAAGTATTCCAACCCAAGGTCAAATAAAGTGACAGCATTTGAAAGTTTTTGTTTGTAATCCAGTGTGATTCTAAGACCTCTATGTAATGTTATGTAAGCTCCATAATGTAATGTACAGTCCATAAAGAAATGGTTGTGCTTCACTATGTGCGGAGCATTGTTTTTTAACATTTCTTTCATTCAGTGTATAAACTTATGTAAATAAATGAGAAACAGACAGAGATTGTTTTAAATGATAATATTTTATTCTATGGTGAATAATGTTTTGTACTTTGTGTTAAAAGAAAAAGTACAGGATCGTAATTGCAAGCACACTTACAAATCAGAAGATTGTTGTTGTGAATAAAGTGGTCTGAGTTGTGTTATTTTTCATTTCTTAGCAATTGGTTTTCCATGATCAGGAAATTCAACAAATTCTACGAATTCCAAATATCGCTTGATTATACAACAATTGGCCTGATTCTGATTGCTGAATCAAGTATCCATGTATACTGATGTAGAGCAAGTTAAACTCCACCTGAGCTAATGGTTAATTAAGGTTGTAAAAGTAATTGGGTTGAAAAGAAATTGAAGTTCTTTTACCTTGCTTTGATGGCTAAGATGTCAGGTAAACAGTTGGAGGTGCTTCAGTGGTGGGAGAAGCACTTTCCAGGGGGTTAGAAAAATCCTGTAAATCATCAACTTCATAACCATTTGGTTGCAAGGTTGAGGGGATGAGGTGTATACCTCCATTCAAATTTTGGCTCTTGTCTCAAACAACTTTGGAAATTGAAAGTGAATCCAATGCATGATTCTTTCTGCCTCTGACAGTGATATGTAAGGTATGGATATCATCCTTCTTAAAGGCTATGTAGTTGGTAGGTGTGGGATGTCTGCAAAAGATATACTGGGCTTGTTTCTGAGCTTCTTGATTGTCAGGTGCTTACCATAAACAAGGTTACTATGTGTCAAAGTTTAAGGGATGGTAAGGACAGATGTATAAACAATATAATCAGTTACTGTCTCCAAGCAAGTCATTAAAAGATTGTATTTTAACAACAATATGATCAAGTTCCAAGAGATTGGTGAAAGAGGGCTAGTTGTCCATTTTGATTTTTCATCGTGGCACGAGTCAGATGGCATCAATTGCAGCAAATCTCCTTCAGGATAATGGGAAAATTATTAAAACCTCATGGTTCATTGTCCACTTCTCAAAATAAGGAAATGTGGTGAGGAAACGGACAGATCTATGGCATTAAATACCTGACTTAAGGCATAAAAGAAATATTCTCCTGTGTTGAAAAGAAAAAGGTTGTGGTCCAAGAAGGAAATGTTCCACAAATTGCCACTACCATTAACATTTTCACTACTCCAGAGATGATTGTGTGCAGCTAAGACTCCTAGGATGATAAAGATGGATAGCAAGTACTTGATAACATCATTTTCCTCTCCTAGAGACAGGTAGAGTGAATATGTTCCATGTCAAAGGTGTGGTGAGTGGTAGATTCATAGAGGGAGTATGTTGTTCAATCAGCAATGCTATTCCCCCATGAATCACACATGTCCTTTTTGTAAAATACATTCTGCTGAATGGTGAAAGTATTGGAAGTTTTCAAGAAAGGAAATACACATAGAATTGTATGAATCAAACAACGCCTCGATGTCATCTTAAATTAGCATGAAAACCTTGACAGTTTTACTGTATCAGCATGGCCATGTCACTTAACATTTTAAAGATTAAAATGGAGAACTCTTCAATTTTTGTTTATTACTACTTTTTTATTTGTGTCAGTGGAAAGCCTACCTTGGATCAAAAGGGCAGATCAATATTGGAAGGATCTTGATTACTGTAATAAAATCTTCAAAATTACATGCACGTTATGTCTTAATAATATTTAACACGTGAACTGCACACAAAAATATAACAAAATATACAAATTCTAAAAATCAGCCACCAAATGTACCAAAAATATTATTGAACTTATGTGATGCTGTAAAAATTAAGACAATTCTAGGTCATTTTGAAACAGTTAGAATGCTTGAAAGTCAGACAAAATGCCTAGCCCATAAACTCTATGAATACAGGAAGGTCAAAGTGTGCATGCCACAACATTTTTGCAGATTTACATTCAAAATTACCTGAATATATCTCACTCTAACAGAAGTTATTCATGAAAGATAGTGATATATATAAAGTGTTTAGACCAATAATACGTCTGTTGTAATCCAGCCAGCCTGATAAATTCTAGTACTGGGTGAAACGCCTTGTTGGCACTGTATATAGGAGATGTAGTATGCTTGATATATTATCAAATACTTTGCTTTCTTGGGTTTTTAGAATTACAGAAATATTCTAAAATAGTTATGAAAGGTTGAATTTAATAAATATTTCAACTGTGACTCTTGATATTTTAGATGATTTGTCTGATGAAATTAGTGAAAGTTAAGGACTTAATTTTGTCTTGAATACTGCACATTCACTGGTCTCAGAAAAGGACATATATGAAATTGTAAAGCCCAGGCACCTATCCAGATTAGCAAAGCCAAGCAGAGTACTAGAAAAGCATTCCTCAACCTTATACCTGAAACAAAAGAAAACCTGGCAAAAATTAGCTTTGTATGTGAAGAGGAAGGGGAAAAAATCATGATACTGGTGTCCACATTGCTGCAGCAATCACTATCTAGCAACCTGGTTCAGAGAATATAACACAAACACAAAATATTAGGTATGTTATGTTAGAAAATAAATGTTCATCACTATTAATTCAAATAGACAACTTCTACGTAAAGATAATCATTACAACTAAGAAGGAAAAAAGTACTTATTTCAAAGTGGATTTCTCTCTCAAAAAATATCAACTTATGGGGTTAATCTATCAAAAATTATCTGTAAGGCCAAAAAACATGGTGCAAATTTCAATAAAAGTTCTATATTTGTTTTGTTCCATGTAACAATACATCACATGCAAAACTTTACCTGTCCATAGTTGCCTTTGTACTGTCCTTGACTAATGATAACATAGGCTCCTTTTATTAAGCTAATGTGTTCTTTATTAACCAACTTGTTACTCTTACAGCTCTTTCCTGGATGACTTGCTCCAAGACCTAATCCTTTGGGTCGTAAAACTACTTCCATGGGATCCACGCACCTGTAAATGATTTAAATATTTTACTTAGCTTAAACTGTTGACTTCAAGTCTTAATTTTTCCTTTTTTCAATCTCAGCAATGTTGTTAATTACTTCTAATAAAATAAAAACTATGTTACAGCTATAAAAATTAAAAAACAACCACTTACTCTACTCTTAAATTCCCAATTAATTACCTCCATTTACAATAGATACATCTTTCTGATTATAAAAATTTGGAGATGGCTTGAATGAGTAATGAAAAAACTTTATTATAATAGTTTTCTTCATCACCCATTCAATCTATCTCAAAACATTTATTTTCTAAAAAGTGGGTTCCTCATCATCAAAGTTAAATTGTTCTTATTACTTTTCAATGTAACTTATAAGCTTTGTGGTTTCCCTTAGTATATTTTTCAGCATCTGTAAATTTTGAAAATCTTTAGACATTTATTCCTTTTCCTCAAATATTCTTATATAATTTTAAACATGTAATCTTTTCACTCAAACTTACAGTTCATGTTTGAAAAACAAAATTTTCCTCTTACTACTTGTGTCATTCTTGTTCTGATTTGCTTTAGACCATTTTTCAAATTAAATTGGTAAAAAAAAAACTTAACCCTACTGTAAACCAATACTTCGGGGTAACAAGATAACTTTACAAAGCTATTAAGCAATCTCCGGTCACGTGATCTCTTTGATCCATACAGTGCATGTATATATGTATATATATATATATATATGTTAAACAAGACCGATGTCTGTAGGTTTACTTTCTTCTTAGAATTCTTCTTAAGAAGTCGATAAGCCGTCTTAACGTTGTTAGAACAACGGGTAAAAGTTGTAGCTAGTGATGAGTTGGCCAACGCGTTTCGAATGCATTCTGCATCCATTATCAAGGCTGAATGTTGTGTGAATTGTGATTACTGTTGGCGGATATTTATAGGTATGGGTAAGCAGGTGGTGGTATCTAGCTCGTGGAAGGCGTTAATTGGTGGAGTGTTGTATTGTGGCTTGGGGGTTTATCGCCAAGAAGCAGCAGTGTGCGTGCTGTTCCTGTCGATTGTCAGTAATC